AGTATCCAGCTTCAACATGGAAACCTCTAGGCCCAAGTGAACTGAGTGCATTCAACCCCAGGCAGAAGACTGTGCACCTTGTAAACTGCATCCCTGGCACTTTGGGGGTTGGTGATATAGACAGCTTCTCCCCAAAGGCTAACCAGGTGACCTCAGATTCCACTTGCCCCTGAAGTTAGAGGGATCCTGTGGGGCGCCCAGAGTCTCCCCCATGGGGTGCGTAGGAGTGGCAGGTCTCATTCACTGTATTTTAAATCCAGAGAAGACTTCAGGATACGTCTTCCACATGAGTCATCCATCGCTGGCTGGGTCTGTGCTTCACTCCTGGAAAGCAGCGGCTGTTGGAAGAGAAGTTGGTCTGATCAGCCGGGAAAATGGAGTTGCAAACAGCAGCATTTGAAGTTTCCATGGCCTGGGCCGTGTCAGCTGGGCAGCCAGTGCTGTTCATCTCCGTCAAGCTCAGCCCCGGGGGTATTTGCGGGGGAGAAGGACACACACCTCTCTAAGGTGTCCTGAGAGAGAGCTGACTCCGGCAGAGGACGCAGAACGTCAGGCCCAGTGGGGGCAAGTTGGAAAACTGCAATATGTGACTCATTCTTTTTCCAAAATTTCTCTCCTCCCCCTTATTTAATTTTTCCCCCCCAGAAAAACGTGTGATTTTATATGCTTTTCTCTGCATGTATTAAACAAATTGCACAGCTGAATAGCTGTTCTTAAAACCTGGACATTCACCAAAAAGAAGTTTGCCAGCACAGACAATTAAGCTTTCTTCTTTGAACAATGGAGTGACTGACTGGCACATTTGAAATGCGAGAGTGTTTTTTTATTCCACTGTTCATCCTTCAAGCTGATAAACAGCAACAATGGGAAACAGCTGGGACAGGAAAACATTTGAGTTTGTATTTTCAAAGCAAGCAAGAAAGAAACCCGTCAGTGTGGGCCAGATCCCGTCTTCCGCCTGAGGGCGAGCCGGCATTTGGGGAGGGAAAAATACTATACATATTTCTAATCAAACATTACATATTTATTAATGTGCAGCTGGCGCATTGTATTCCGAGAGTTGGTGGGGGGTGTTTCTCCCTCCACCCCCATGCCACCCGCCTTGTTTCTCTACTGTGTCTTGTCTGGCAGGCGGTATTGTTCTGTAACTGACATCACTTTATAAGAATCCAGAGCTGCACACATTTAATGGGAATCATCGAGACAATTGCTCTCTGTGAGGTTTAGGGCTCTGTGACGTAAGTGCCACCTGAGCCTCATTTCCATGCTGGGAGTGGGCAAGGTGGGCAATGGAGGTATTTTTAGGCAGGTGCATCTGGGATACTCTATATGGGGAAGCCCCTAGCCCCTTCACTGCTCTCCTCATGTCACACACTGGGTCCCTCTGTGAAGGCCACAGCTCCTGCCCACGTGTCTGTGCGCTATCTAAACGTGGGAGCAAATTTATTTTGATGCTCACTGAGATTACACTTGCCAGGCATTTCATCGGGAGCAAGGGGTGGATCTGTTCATTAGGTGTGGAAGCTCACCTTGTCAATTTCCATCGCACGCTGGCACCAGCGATCACTTTATCATCATTTGTCAGCAGCCTCGACAGGTTTTACTCAGCTCTGATTCCTCCTGGGCCCCGCTGTCATAACTTCATTGGCTTTATGGTAGCAGCCGAGGCCGGGTTCCCTTAGGTAATTGTCTAATAGATCTACTTTGCCTTAATATCGGTAATATGTTAAATGTAGGAGAATGGGGAAGAGGTGAAAACGCAAAACACCAGACATGCCTGTCCCAGTCCCAGCCCCACCCTAAACTGACGACCTCATCCATCGTTGGAAATCCCATTATACTGAGTGAGGGAGGGGATGGGTCTCTTAGAGCCCTGAAAAATGAAAGCTGAGGTTTCAGGCTCCCTTTGGTCTTGCGGCCTGAAGAATTTAGTGTGGGAGGGAGTAAAAGGTTCTGAGTCAGGAAGAGGGAGCACTTGGCTCTAGGGTCCTCTTGGGGCCTCAGTTTTCCATGTGTTGACTGAAAGCAGTCAGCAGGCAGCTGAGGCTCCCACAGACTCTTGGGTTTACCCCGGGCCAGGCAGCAGTAGAGATGCAAGAGGGCTGGGTGGGGAGTGTGGTGAGCAGGTGGGCTGCTGCCTTTCTGCAGGGGCAGCCGCCACTCCTCTGCAGCCACATGTTGCCTTGGGCTAATGCTGGCCAGGTGGAATTAGTGGTTTAGATTTTTTAAAAAAGAGAAACCATAATTCTTTTTTTTTCCACTAAGGAGAAACTGGAATTCTGAATTTTTATATCAACTGTTTTAATTTTCAGTGCTGAAACTGATTATAAAAACTTTGTCGATAAAATAAAATGTCTGGTGGCTTTGATTAATTCTGACGATGATGAATAGTGATAGCTAACATTCTTGAGTGCTTACTGAAATACCACCACAGACTGTTCCCTATGATTTCTTTCTCACAACAAAGGTGGAAGACTGCCTGATTCTTTTGTGTGAGGAAATGGAAGCCCAGGAAGTAATTTGCCAAACTCACATCTTGGCTGTTCTACTGATCAGGTAATTGGCCTCTGGGAACCTGGAGATCGACTGACAAGCATTTCTGGGCCTGTGTGGGACATAAGACTTTTGTCTAAACGTGGATTTCCTAGCAAAGGCCAATTCATTTTGAAGTGCTGCTTAGGAAAAAAAAATTATACTGTTCTTAAAACTTCACCTATTTTCTGGAATTTCCCACTTCTCTATTACTCTGGCTTTCAAAACTGTGGGTTTTTCCTAAGTAGCAGATGGTAACCATGCTAATTACCGAGTCCTAGGGCAGAAGTAAAGGACTTGGGGTTTCCTGAATTTGTCACTGCTACCTTACTTCATGGCCTCTGGTTTGCTGAACTGTGTGGGGACTCACATTTCCTGTTCCTCTTTCTCTGACTTAGCCTTCTGGCCTCCTGACTGCACATTTGCCCAAAACTGACTATGTCTTTAATAAACTTTAATAAACCACGCATGCTTGGTGAATTAAAAACTTGAGTATAGGGCGTTTGGGATAGATTCCTTTCTCTTTGGCCACTATCGAATTATTTCTGTTGTTATCTCTGGTTGTCATGTTTTGTATATACTTTCAGATACCAACGTAGTGTCCTGCTTGCACTGATGAAAGGTTCAATGTACACTTGTACACATGCAAAGCCTGTATGTGGCCCAACATACAGGTGTGCACACACATGGTCAGTCATATGTGCAATATACCATACATGTGAACAGACTTACTTGTAGCTCAACACGTCTGTGCCCACAATGCTGCTCAATATACCTGTACACACACACGTGGCTCAAAACACATATGCAATGCACACAGTATGTGTGGTTTAATCTATCCACACGTGCATGCTCACACGTGATCTGACACTTATATGTAAACGCTTCCTGTGGTTTGGGTAGACCCACAGGGTAGGGGTTTTGAGGTTTTGCACTTGAGTGATCCCGGATCCTGTCTCAGAAGTGATGGATGAGTTTTTCTTGCCCTACCATGTAGGAGTAAGATGGGAACTGCTCCTGTTCCTCACTTGTGCAGAATCTGTGCCAACCGCAGTGGCTTTGGGATACCAGTTGACACCCAGTGTTACCAGGAGAGGGTGGATGATGTCCACTGGTCAGTGTAACTACTCTCAGAAGGACCATTCAGTGTGCAGACTGCTCACCAGGGAAGCAAGATCCATCCTGATTGTGTGGTGGCCAGTAAAGGGAAGCAGGGTTTTCTTGGATGCAATGTGGAGGTCAAACACGAGCATCCAGTGTGTAAACAGTCCATGCTGTGCATATGGATAAAGGTGTGCAGGTCACTGCAGGGCAGCTCTGGGAAGGAGGATGGATCTTCTTTTGTGCACCAGTGACGGGGATGGTGGCAGTCTGGTGTCCTTTCAAGCCCGGACTCAGGAGAAGGGGCCTCCAGCTAGAGAGGACTAGGATGGGGAGGTCTTATCTCCCTGAGGGAGGCCAAGGGAGGGTAAAGCCTTGTGTATTGGGGCCCTTTAACTTTTCACCCAGATGGGCACTTCATTCTAGGGGCTTTGTGCATGTTCTGCCCTTTTGTAAAGAAGTGACAGATTTTCCAGGCAAGGGTAGCAGAGTCTGCCACTAGGATCCAGGCATTAAGCAGGGCGGGGCAGGAGATCCTGTCTCTCAAATCCATTTCAAGGAGAAATGAAAGGAGAAGTGGTGAAGACAATGTTCAGCACAGAGAATAATTAATCTCAGCTACTTGGGAGACCAAGGCAGGGATGTCACAAGTGCAAGGCCAGCCTGGGCAATTTAGCAAGACCCTGTCTCAAAATAAGACATGAAAAGGTCCGAGCATGTAGCTCAGTGGTAGAGCATCCCAGGGTTCAACCCCAGCATGGGGCTGGGGTGGGGTGGGGGAGAGAGTAACAGTCAATAATGCAACTCCAGCTCTGACTCTAAGTCCGTTTCTATGCCAGGTACTCTTCATAGATAATTTCTAAACCTAAACATGACCATGGATTGTTATCTTTAATCTCTAGGTCCATTCCTCAGGTAGTAGAACTGAGGGAGAGAGAAACTAAATCTGTTAGTGCAAACATACATATCGTGTACATAGAGGCAGTTTTGGAGCTCAGGGCTACAGGACTTCAGAGCTCTTTCCTGTCCCCAGAAGTCCCCACGTTCAGGGCTGTCCACCCCTGATGCCAGAGGCACCTTCCACTCTTGGCACTGGATCCCCAAAACCAGAGCTGTCCCTCCTGTTTGGCGAGGGCAAATCCAGGTTTTCTCAGTACTTTGTACACTCCAGGCAAAGTGAAGTCGGCCTCTGCCTGCTGTCCCCACGTTCAAGGTTATGCAGATAGCAGTCAGTGGAGGCTCCCTTGCAAATGCACAAGCGCTGGCGGCCTGGCAGATAAGGGCCGAGGCCCAGGCGCGCCGGTTGTACTTGCATTATCGCGAGCTTCCTTAAGCTCGGATGAATATGTAAATCTCTCCGGAAGCCTCCTTGTTCCACAGTCCTGGGGGCCACCTCCTCCGGAGCAATTCCGAGGGTAAAATTGATTAATATTTGTTTTCAAAATGACACGTGGTGATGTATGGGCCTTTTTACAACTTAAATTAATACTTTAAAGAGATGAATGGTCTCTACAGAGGGTGTTAAAGTTCAAGCCCAGAGAATTTGCATATTTATATTATAGCCAACTGAAAGTAATTGTGGGAACGGTCTGTAATGCTGTTCGTTTGTCATTTTCAGCGGGGTGTGCTTCTGCCAGGGACCTCATTAAGTCCCTGAGTCTCAGCCCCTCCGTCTGGTAGGACTCGGGCTGCTGGCCAGGCTCTGGGGCCTGCGGTCAGGGCACAGCCCTGTCTTGAGGAGCCTGGAGGCTGAACCCCACCTGGGCCTGGCACCCGCTTTGGGGGGCAGTGGGACAGGCAGGTGCCTTGAGCCTGGCAACCGGGGATCCTGTTTGTCCCACCCACCCATGGTGAGGAAACTGGGTACTGGTCTTCAGCTCCTTCTGTCCTTGGCAGAGGGTGGCTCCCAGGTTAATTCCTGGCAATTCCTGCAACCAGAGAACTGGCCGCGAGAGCCGCTGGACGAGGAGTCCAGGATGCTGAGGATGGACAGGGAAACCCGTGCTGGAGAGGTGAGCCGGTGAGGGGAGGCTGCGCCTCTCACAGGGCCTCCTCCAACTCCCACCTGTCCTCCTCTCAGCACCCAGGTTGAACTGTTTGAAACCTAAGTCAGGCTGGGTCCTACTTCTGTCAAAATTCTTCCTGGTCTCCCTCTTGCTCTTCGGAGTGAAAACCAAGCTCCTTGCCATGGGCAAGAAGGCCCTGTGTGGTCTGTTCCTCCCATTCCCTACCATAACCTCATGCTTTCAGACACGCACATACAGATAGGTGCCTGGGAATCTGTTTTTTTGTGTTTTTTTTTGTATATTTATTAAAACATTGGCTCCGGTTCCTTACCTCTCCCTGTCTCCCAGGTGTGATTTTGTAACTTTTCCCATCAAGAAGTGGAATCTAGTCATTTTCCCATCTCTTGAACTTGTGAGTTGCTTTGGCGAGTGGAATATAGTATAAATGACTTGAACCTGTTGTGAACTCTCTCCTTCTGGAGTTTTCAGTCCGTCATGAGAGCAAACCTGGTCTAGAAAGCTCAAGGATGAGCAGTTAAGTGGAGCAGAGAAAATCAGCAAGTTGTTCTGGCCAAGGTGCCATGAGGGTGCCCAGGTGAGACAGCAAAGCCATCAGCCAACATGTGGCCGACCACAGATACCTCATGGAGGCTGCTGTGCCTGGCTTAGAGTAGAACTACCTATTTGACCTGTGGCCTTTCAAACAACAACGAATATTTGTTAGATGAAGCAAGGAAAGTAGGATATTTTCATATAAAACATTATCATAGCAATAGGTAAATGGCAAATGTCTCATCCCTGACTGTTTGCCCACGAGCAAATGGCCATATCAGTCCTGAGCCATCTTAGACTCCCAAGGGGGCCAGAGGAGTAGAGAGACCTGATCTTATGCCCAGGCCTGGTTGTCTAATCAATCAGACCCAGAGAAAATAAACAGAGAGTACATGTGCTGTTGGCCCCATCCTGCTTGCCTGAGAGGGGAGGAGGGGCTGCTTCCTACTCAAGAGACTGCGATGCAGCTTACCCACAGGAGGGCGTTGAGGTAGAGGTTTCCATCTCTCTGAGACTGGAAGGGATGGAAAAGAGGCCTAAGTTTGAAGAAATTGGTGGGAAGTGGGGCGGGGGGAAGGCCGGGTGGAAGGTGACTGTACACAGGGCCATTTCATGGAGGAAGGGGTTGCTGTGAGAGGTGATGAGGCCCAAGCTGGGTGTCTGCTGAGCACGCTTTCAGGCTGATTTGAGCAGGACGACCCAATCCTCAAAGGGGAGGCTGGTAGGGGAGGACTTCCATGTCCCCAACTTGGTGGTGAATGTCCTCCCCCTGCCCCAACCCCTGCATACACCAGAGCTGGACAGAAGGCAGATGACATTTTTTGTTTAAAACATTTTTTTTGAGCGGGAGGAAATTTTAAGTTTATATGAAATGGAAAAAAAATAGAACAATGACTGGCCAGAGATTCACTGTCAGTGTTTAGCGATGTTTGCTCTCTCTCACTTGTATATGACTGTTATGATGACCGAGAGGAAGGACAGATATCAGAACAGACTTCAGGAAATGTCTGAGAGCAGGTGCACTTGCTTACCCATCAGAGCGTGCTGGTGCAATTCAGGGAAGTTGTGTTGGTGGTACAGTGGTGAGTACGGCCACCTTCAAAGTAGGGAAGTTGGCATGAGCATAATGCTGTTATAAAATACAGTGTCCATATACAGATTTGGCCTACAGTCTCCGTAAGAGCCTCTAATTTCCCCCAATACTTTACCCAGCTGAGAATCAGGGTTGCACCTACAAGCCATACCTCCTTTGGTCTGTTTTAATTTGGAGCAGTGCTCCCGCCCCTACTTTTTGTCCATGAGAACACTCAAGTTGCTGGGTTGTTCTGGGCAGCTGCATTGCAAGATGTGTTTCTGTTTGGATTTGCCCGATAGTCCCCTGGATTATATTCAGATCACACAGATTAGATGCGTGATAGCATGTGAGAGCTCCCTTTAAGATGGTGAGCGTGTTTCCTGGCTTTGTGACCAGCATGGGCATTTCCTTTTCAGAGTACTGTCCTGTCCCGAGGCCAAGAGGGCTTTTTATTTCTGCATCCTCTACAGAGAATGATGCAGTTATGAGGCCAGGTCCTGGGCTCACTCTGCCTCGGATGTGTCAGGTAACATTGGGTACATTGGACCGCACTCACCTCAACTGTATGATAGGGATAATAATCCCCGCCTACACTTAGGGTTGATATCTGAATCAAATAAGCTAATTTATGAGATGTATTTGCACGTTACCTGCAGTAGCAGGTGTTTCTGGCTGTTTATGTTAATGCAGCTTTCTAAATATTTCTGGCTCCCTGCCTTGTAGAAGCATTTCCTGCCTGTCTTCTTCCTCCCACCTCTTGAAGGTGGGTGTAGACATGTTGACCCCGGAAAAAAATTATTTTTCAAGCCCATGGCTGTCAATTCCCGGGACAGATTATTGAGCCGTAAGACTAAGACTCCCTCTGGACAGAGGAGGAGATGCTACTTTCTTTCTAACATACTGACCAGCAACTTTTGAGACGAGTGGTTGTTCCACTTGGCTCGAGTCTTTAAATACCTCTAATAGGCAGAGCTACCTCTTTCTCTTCCTTGTCATCCTCCCATGCTGTCCTGCAATGAGGAGCAGCAGCATGAGCAAGAAATAAACCTTGGCTGTTTTAGGCTGCTGAGATTGTGGGTGTGTTACTGCAGCAGGACTGGTTTATGCTGTCTAATAAGTGGTACATGCATGTTGGGCATTACTACTACCATCATTCTTAGTAATTTTATTATAATTTCTTAATTTCTTGTGCCCATTTCATTTCATTCAGAGCCTTTTTTTTTTTGCTGTGCTAAGGATGGAACCCCAAAGCTTTGTGCATGGTAAGTATGTGCTCTGCCACTGAGCCATGCCTCTGACCCTCCTGCAGAGACTTTCTGCCGTTGTGACTCTCTGTTCAGGCTCCACTTCCTACTTTCCGTCCTTGACCATGACTTTCTCAGCCCCACTGTCTGCGAGCTTTTGTCACTGTGGTCTGAAAGTCCCAGCTCTGAGTGAGTCATAAATGTTATGCTCAGTGTTCAGTAAGTGATTGTCTAAATGCCCCTGGAGAAATCTGAGTTATAAGTATCCTTAAAGGGTTTGGCTTTGACCTCAGCATCTGTAATTGCACAAACAGTATTGTAGCACTAACCATAAACATAAAAGACAAAAAAGCCATTTGCAATCCTTCTAAAATTAAAGACTTATCCATGCTTTCTCTCATCTGCCTCTGTGAGTGGATGGTTTTGCAGTGGTGCTTTCAGCCAGACAGCATTCTGTGTTTTGTGTTTCCCCCTCCACTTAAAATACTATCGGGAGGACACACTTCCATCAAATATGTGAGCCCTTTATTTTAGAGGCTGCATCTCTTCCATGGAGTGACTTTGATTTTTTTGAACATTTGCGCATTTATACATTGGAATATTTTCCAATTCTTTGCTGTTTCAGCATGGGCATCTTTGTTCGCAGGATGCCCCCTCCTATCCCAAGCATCTTTGGAAAGTAGGGATCTCAAGCGCCTCTCAGTCCCCCAGTTTGCATACGGTATTTCAGCATATGATGTTGTCCTTCTGCCACCCCCTCAACATATGAGCAAAATATCCTGTAAGTGAGTTTCCACCACTGAATGATTTAGTGATATTAAAATAAGTCCTGCCCCTTTCCAATGGTGCTGGAACTTGTCTTTCTCCTCTAGTGAACCTCTTTCTTGTCTTCCTTTGGAGCAGTGGGGGACTTGCCGCTGAGTGGACCCCTTCTGTGCTTTCTTAAACTGCTTACCATCCTCCTCATTCTCCTCAGCAGCATTAGCAGTTGATTTTCCCCCCTTGGGACACTTTGTCATGGAGAAACAGGTCTCTCTCCTTCCATGAGCATGATCCTGTCCGAATAAATGACTATGGGACATCCGGAGCGTGTTTACGGGGGTGCCGGTGGCTCGTTCTGCTCCCTCCCCATGAGGCCTGTGTCCCCAGTTGGGAGACAGATGGGCCACTTCGGTGCTCCTGGCTGCCTGTGCCAGCGAAGGCGATGTGTGTTGTGAGCTTAGCACTGTGTTCTTCCTTTTGTGACTCCAGCGCCCAGCTCAGGCCCTGGCCCAGAGCAGATGCCCCTGACTGGTGGTTGAGTGAATCATCAGTGATAGGATGTGATAGTTGGGTGATAGGAGAAGGCTTCCAGAGAGAGGCATCTGCCTAGGGCTGTGTCAGGTGGCGTTTGTGGCAGAGCAGGGCCTTGTTCAGCCCATAGGAGACATGCATGGTGTGTGTGTGTGTGTGTGTGTGTGTGTGTGTGTGTGTGTGTGTGTGTGTGTGTGT